AGGTCTTGATGTTAGCACGGATTAGGGACCAAGGTATCTGTGCCCACCCAGCAGCAAGCAGGCCAGCTTTACTGTGTAATCCCCTTGCACAGAACAAATCCACTGCATCAGGCTGAATTTAGGCCAAGCAATAAACACAAATAATAATTAAAAAATCCAGATTTTTTTAGCACCTCACACAGTTGAAAAATCCTTCAGATAACACTTCCTGCTTCTCATCTTCTGTACAGTTCATCTGACTGTCCACTGATCTAACAATCGGAACATGATTGTTAAATGCGAAGGAATCTGCAATGTTAGCATCAGAAGTTTTTGTTTTCACTCTGTTAGCATGTATGTATGTGGGGAGAAAAAAATCCTGTCTTGTCTCACTTGTTTTGTGTTACAGAACCAAAGCTCTCTGCAAACTTTATTTTTGTACAATATTCATTTTATAACTTTTTACAGAAATAAACTCGTTTCTATTAAATCAAAAAGGTCTCCTGGTATTGCAATGACCAAAGATGGTGGTAATCCTACATCCACCCACTTTGTGAATGAATATCTCTAATATTTTTGGCTTGAGAAGTTCTTTATTGCAGGATTAAATCTCAACACAATTCTGAGAAATTCCGGTAGGATTTAATGTTTAATCTATTTAGGATTTAGAAACAAATCTGAATTTTATGCTCACTATTTGATTGTAAAAAGTTAATAGTAGCTAGCAGCTTTGATGTGGGCTTGGTGTAACTATCCTGCTGGAACACCCAAACGAATTGAGATTTCAACCATCTAACCCAAACAGTTTTCCTCAGATACGAGGAGATTGGTCAGCATGTAAAGCAGACCTCAGCCTTAAGAATCACTAAATTTGCAGCAGTCCAAATCCAAATGCCTTTGAAGTAAAGTTTCATGGCTAAATGAAATAAAAACTGCATGGAGAAAGTTAAGACGAAGGTTTGAAACGCATTTCAATAACTGTCAAGTCAGGTGATGGGAGTCGATGAAATATCAAAGGAAGACCGTGAATTCTTAAAATCCATCTCCAGTCAACATTTTTAAACTGTTGAGTGTTCAAATGGGATGACAGAAAGGATAATGCACACCAATCTTATATCTCATATGTAATCATCCTGATATAGCTGTATTTTAAACTTATGGATTATGGTTAAATCAATCAATTTTTGCTATTCCACCCTGCAAAAATAAATATTTACACCCATAATTAGTGTATGTAAGCTTATAGAAGCTACATAATCTTGCTGCTGTCATTGTCAACACAAACATGACATAAAATTCTGTAAAAAAATGTTGGTTTAGCGGTAAATTTAGACAACCGTTTGAAAGGTGGCTTTCTCTTTCTGGCTTTCTCTTCTGGATTCTTGAACAAGAGCCGAGGTCATACGATAAACACAAGCTTGTGGTAAAGAGCCACTGAGTTTTAAATCACTGCACTGGAGAATCTTTCCACTGTGGCGGAAAGATGTGAAAAAGTCGATGGCAGGAAGGGCTGACGCACACGCAGACAGTCATAAAACAGCGACCAACTAATAAAATGCAAGAACACAATTGTGTTTGAAGCTCATATTGTGCCGATTTCAAAGTTTTCCAAATTAATTTCGGCAGGCTACTCGAATAAGCTAACACACTTAATGTTTAAAATTCATTGACTTGTTCCTTTCCCTTTTGGTTTTTCAGAACACCAAAGATGGGAGGAATTTGAAGGAAATTATTACTCAAACATTTTGAGTCAAAGTTGATTTAAAAAATGGATTAAAACTTTTATTTCTGAATATATGAATTAGCTGTTTTTACAACCTTTGTAGACTCAAGTGTTCTTGGGCATTCTCTGCATACCTGTTTATGGTGTTCATTCTTATCCTCCCACTAAGTCAGACTGGGTGGGCAGAGTGGATGGAGGGCCAATTTTATGTCCTTCCTGAGATGTTCACTTGTAATTACATTTGGAGTGCAGACTGTGATCCTCTAAGAGACTTTCATAGATCGCTCCTTTTCTTTTGTTTTCTTCTTTCCTTTAGTTGACCAGGTAAAGTCACGTTGAGACCCAGAGCCCATCTGCAACACACAACTTGTTACACAAATTAAACCACATACACAAACTTAAATTACAAGACAGCTTAAAAAGCATTGGCACACAACATGATGCTGCCACCACCATGCAAGGATGGTGGTAGGCATGTGATAAGCACACGACTCTTGGAGTTTGGACCAAAAGGTTGTGTTCTTTTTTCCAGGCTGAAATCAGATCAGAATCGGATATCATCTGCACATTTCAAGGCATTTTATGCAGTGCACTGCTGGTCTTGTCCTGCAGTGGGACACTGAGATATTGTTTCAGCATAACACGTTTATCAAAGGTATTCACTTCGATGCTATGTTGCACATCAAGGCCTGAAAGTCATACCCCTGGATGAGTAACAGCATTCTCGAGCAGTTACAAATGTCCGCCACTGGAATCCATTAGACGGTCCGATTCTGATCAGATTTGTTTTTGAAACCCTCCAGAAAACTCACAAATGGTGTTTCGACTGCATCTGCAAGGGTTGTACACATTTATAAACAGCCAACAAAGGTCTACTCAGATTCACTCAGGTCTACTTTTTATAGTTCTTCAGGAAGCCAGCAGATAACACTAGCATAACATTTCTGCCAAAAAAAACCCCCAAACATTCTTTGTAATTTGAGTGAATTGAGCCCTTAATAGGTCTGTTTAAATCTCTACCTTGAGGCAAGTGTTTCCACTCCACACTTAGCTTCTCAATTTCACACACACCGCTGTTGTATCACATGATTTCAGCGTAGCCAGGCGTCTCCCTTCACTTACTCCTGCTGCTTTCTAAATGTTATAGAGGCCTGGAACCATGAACCAACTCTGCAGCCTTCTTTTCAGAAAATGAGGTACTTAGATGTTTTAGTGCTTTCATATTTATTCTGGTCAAATCTTTGTCTCTGATTAATTTTACAACAGCTGGATGTTTGTGGGGACAAAGATATTTGAACTGTTCTCTTGTTATTTCCATTGGCAATAAAGTTATCAGTTTTTGGGTTTTGCGTTTGTATGTCACCAATTAGAAACATCAGTAAAATGAAGGACCAACACGCAAGACTAATCCTGTTGTTCACATTTCTTGATCAGGCATAGAATATAATTTTGTACAAAAGTATCAAAACCCTGTGAACTTCTTGGATGTTTTCGCTTTCCAGCAAGAAATTTTAATGGGTTTCACCTAAATCCCAAAGGTGGAATGTACATTTGCATTAAAGACCCTCTGAGTCAGAATATTTTGAAACTACCTCTCTTCACAATTACAGCTGCAGACTGGTAGGTTTGACTACCAGCTCTGTACATCTGGAGACTGAAAGTTTTGCCTATTTTTAGTCAGAATATCTAAATCTCCATCAGAGAGCATCCAAGAACATCAATTTTAGATTTAGTAGTGGACTTTGACTAAGCCATTCTGATCCATTAACGTTCTTTGATCTACATAAACCATTTCTTTGCAGCCCCGGCTATAAGTTTGGTGTTGCTGCCCTGCTGCTGGAAGGTGAGCCAGTCATTCGCTCAAACAGATTTTCTCCCAGGAATGCTCTTTTTTTTTTAAATCAAATCTACAAAGCTTTCCTTTCTCAGCAAAAGGAAAGTTTTTCTGCAGCATGATGCTGCCACCATCAGGTTTCACAGTGGGGATGTTCAGAAAGACAGGCCACACATAGACCAACAGGTTGATTTCTATTCTTATTTACTTGAGTGCAAATTCCTTGCTGTTTGCGCTGTCCCTGTATGATTTGTGGCAAATTTTAAACTTTATTATTGTTTTGTTTTTTTTTTCATTTCTACAACAGCATCATTTGTGGAGAGTATAAATAAAAATTTCCTTTAGTTATACTCTGCTTCTCTCTTTTAATCGGTTTTGTCATACAGTCGTGTCTAGCGAGGGTTTGAGTTGTACAACTATTTGATCCATCAGTTGCGGATAACGTACTGTACACTGCTGCACAAAATGTTCTCCGCATGAGAAGTTCCTGCTTAAAACTCCTCCACCATTTTCTCCCCGATCTGTCTGCTGTGTTCCTTGGTCTTCATGATGCAATTTGTTCTCTAAAATAACTCTGAGTCATTCCCAAAACCGCTGCAGTTACACAGAATACAAATGGATGCCACACTTCCAACTTATAAGTTGTGAAAATAATTTAAAAAAAATTTAAAAGAAAATGAAACCATAGAAATTTACTACTATGCACTATTAAGAGCTCAACTATTACGTAAAAATAGAAGGAAACTAATACAACAAAATGTGAAAAAGCTCTACGAGGCCCAGCATGCTGCAAATAAAAACTCAGACTAACACGTGGTAAGCAGAGGCTGCATTCCAAAGAGATGTATAAAATGCTGAACACAAAAGTGGCTTTCATTAAGCATCGCAGACATATTTCATTTAGCATTATCCAAAAGAAACATTTCCACGTTCAAAGTCAGAGATGAGAAAAAGCTGCAGGTACTAAGAAGGAAAAACCTCCTTTAAAGCTTCAATAAATTCTGTGTTGGACCACAAGACATATTCACAATTCTTGCTGAACTCAGTGTTGTAAAATTAAGACGCTCAACCTCAAATAAAAAAGAAAAAAAAAAGTGTTTACTTTGTGAATTAAAATTGCCTGGCCAGCAAGCCAATATCAGAGCCAAGGTTGGGATCAAGAGCATAACTTCCTGGAGGTAACACCCTCCCCACTGCACAACCACATCTTAACAACAGCTGAACTTTTAAATAAAAATTAAGCACCCCTGATTTGCCAGTTTAATACCGCCATACTTTGTCCACAATCATTTAATTGAAGCAATGCATAGCATGTAAAACCCTTTCAATGCAGTAAGTAAAAACAGCAGGATTGGCTCCGCTATGTATCTTCAGGTTGGAGCTTGTGCCTCACAGGAAAGGCATTCCTTTGATCAGCAGGTAAGACAGATCAGACTAAGCTTCAGTTTGGATGAAATACAACTCTTTGACAAGAGGATATAAATTTCTTTATTGAAATTTTGAGTTGGTTTACATGGTGTGGCGAAAACAAGAAATAATTGAAGGTTTTGCTGTTAACTACTAAAAAAAAAGCACAGCTTTTAAACTGTCAAGGCCGAAAAAAAAACCAATATTCCCACATAAAACTGGCTGGAATTTCACTACGTCTCCACGATTTGCTCTGCGCAAACTCTTCTTCGTGGTGATCGGCACTGCACCACAAAAATCTGGAGCTGATTTATGAGTCATTGGTAAACTCTGGAGATGAGGGGTGTGAGGACAAAAGAAATTACAAAAATACCGTCCACACAATCAAAACAGACATAAAAAGTGAAGTGGTTCATGTGTAGCAGTGAGAGGAACATAAAACTGTATGATGGCGAGATCAGATTTATGCGCTTCCTTTTTTTCACCGAAGCAGGAGGGAAGAAAAGGGAGGAATTAAGATTCATTGGAGGGCAGAAACATTATGCTTTAGGAATTTAATTGATGTTCTTAAGTATTTTGGCCAGTTCTTTGTGTTTCTGACATGTCCAAGGTCTTTATCAGCTAATCTCATGTAAAAAAAAAATAATAATAATAAAAAAATGGGTCACTCAGATTTTGCGTTTCTTCCACTCCGGTTCTTTGTCAGCCTCCTCATCCTCCTCTGACTCTTCTGCGAACACGGGCTCCGGCTGGGTCCTGCAGGGATTCACAAAGACGAGCAATGATTTAACTGTCACTTTTATTTCATTTCTATTCATGCAGCTTCGGAGCAAAAGCAATGAAGAGCAGAACAAAGAAGTCACCCAGCTGTGAAACAATGAATTAAGTCAGATGCTGGAGTGTCAGAGTGTCAGACCAATGACACATTAAATAAGGCTTAATGAGCTTCAGGCTAAGAAGTTATAATGAGAAGAATGTTGCACACAAACACATTTCTCCAGGCTTTTCTCCAAACGTTCCCAGATGGACGGATGGATAAACAGACAGAGACAGAAAAAGAGATGGATGGAGAAATCAATAGATGGAAGAATGAATTAAGAGACAGACAGTAACAGAAGGATGGGTGAATAGACAAAAAAAATGGACAGCTGTATGACAAGTGGATGGACAGAAGAATGGATGTACTGATTATATGTGTGCATAAATTAATGGACAGAAGATTGGATGATTGTGTCCCACTGTACACTATTGAGACAGATTGAGAGGTAAAATGCTGAAGAATCATGAATTTACTGTTTGTAAGCCGGGGCGATCCAGTATGGGTTCTCCGATGCCTCCTTGGCGTGACGCAGGATGGCCTCTCGCGGGTTACTGTCGTCCGTTTTATCCAAAGCGATGTTCTTCACGATGAACGAAGACAGCGTGCCCCCATGTGCTGCTACTCTGCCTCCTCGACCTGCGAGGGCACATGGATCAGTGGGTTAGAGACTCTTTGCACGTTCTTAGAAAGCAGGGGGAAAGAAAATCAACAAATCCCAACTTTAGGTAAAGCTCGGGCATGATCAGTGAGGAGACATTCACCTTACTTAGGGCCACTGATTTAGAGCTCTGGCTCTGGATGATGTTATCTACTAAAATATGCGACACTGAACAGACACTGATGTTATCTTGCATCACAGATCTGCTTACGGCAGATGTGTTGGTCACAGTGTTAACAAAATCAGATATAAAAGTCATTTTGAACAACAGTTTATATTCTTCTGTTATCAAATGTTTGTAAAGTTTAATCTATTTGATGAATTTGACTTCACCTCCTTCTTTCCAGACAATGTAAAAACCAGAGTTTAAATCTGGACCAACATAAAGTATGCAGGGAGTTCCTGCTGTAGCGGCCCAGCTGTGTTGTTTGGGGATCGAGAGCCACATCCAGCCATTTGCTTGTAAGCTTTGAGCCAACCACCAAACATTACCTTGCACTTATGCGAAGTCAGTTCACACACAAGATAAACATAATAAGGAAAGTCTATAATCTGAGAGGCACAAGTCACCCATCAAGAAGTCACTTTCCTTTTCATAGAATGGACCTATTTCTGAATTTCTCCTCCTTCTCTAAATCTTAGTGACTCATGTGTTTTATTTATACAGAAACGTGTGCAATGATACTCCCTGGACCAATTTCAGATTCTAAAAATGTGTAAACCATGAGCTGGGTATGGTTTTACTTAAACAACATAAAAACCTCCCAAGGTCTTAAGAGATGGGGTCATCTAGACCCCATGAGTTCCTGACTCATGTCCGGATGGGTCGCGCTGACACAAGTGTGTGCTTTTATGAGTTCGATTTTTTTTGTGTGGTTTCAGAAACTGACAATTTAATGGGACAACCCCCACCACTTCCCCACGACATTTGTCGCGCTCCTCCTGAGCGTCGTGCTAAGACTGCATACACAGCCATAACGGAAAGACAACAAAAAAGGAAAATAACAGAAAATAAAAACCTTTTTTAATCGTAAAAACCTGGAATGATAAATAAAGAACAACTAATCCTTCTTGCGGCATTAACAAAGCATGGTTGACAAAATAGTTTTTCCTTTTTTACAAGACTGCTTAAGTTAAGTGTGGTTTGTGGGAAACAAATGCAGTTGGATTTTCATTAGGTTATCTGCTAAACTCCCTTTTTTTTGTTCTTTTTCACTGTGTAAGAACAAAGCTGAAATACACACTGGACTCAACCACAAAAGCCCCAAAAAGATTCATCCTTTTTTGGGCTTTTGCGGTTGAGTCCAGTTTGTTCAGAGTCAAATTGGACTCACCTTCGCCAAGTTTAGTTTATAGTTTATTTGCTCTAAAACACAGAGACACTCATGATAATAATAAAGGTTGTTAGTCAATCAACATTCCAAATAAAATCACAGAAATTCAAAACAAAGTCAAATAAAAATAATTCATAAGTGTTATAATAGATCAGGTGTATTATTATGTCAGTACGTGCCTATTATTACATGTTTGTTACAAATTTTAAATTTGTAACGAATATTTCCTCTCATCACAGCTTTAGTGTAACAAATATCTACTGAATACACAGGATCAACAATTAAATGAAGACAAGAAAAAGTCAGAAAAAGAAATATAAACCCAAAAGACAAGAGAAGACAGAAAAAAACTGAAAGATTAAAAAGTAAGCAAATCGCATCATGAAAGTTTCAATAAAATTTTAAGTATCTGATTTAAAAACTGCTATTTATCATTTTGTTTCAAGTCTCTTTTAAATATATTATTATTTATGCATTTATGTTTTGGCAAAACTGTCACAAAGTTTAACCCAAGCAAAAGAGAAACACAAACTTTTTAATCTAATAATATTTTTTTGTTTTAAGTAAAATTTCTAAAATACTGTCTAAATTAATCTGGATGTTTTCTAGTCAAGTGACACCAGGCTTACTTAGAACTCACTGGGTTAGTTATGTTTAAATTAGTTCATCTTATTTTATTGTTGGATTATTTCATTTGCTCCTGATATGCAAGCATTTACAGCTTACATCGCCACAAGTTCCCAAAACAGAGAAACTGCTCGACATAACTCGGCAGCAGTGAGCCTGGAGACAAGAGAAATGTCGTCTGTGGTTTGTTGGAGTTCAAAACTGTTTTTAAAAATGAGCATTTTTACATTTAAATACAACAATTATGGTTTTTCCTGCATTATTTTCATTGCAAGGGTTGGCCATATCTGGCAAATGGCCAGGATGTTTGAGAGGCCAGTTGCTCCACATGGGCTGGACTGTGTTACACCAACTGCAGCCTCACACATCTGCCTAAAACAAATAGATTATCTGTCCAGTTACAAACTTGACACTTCATATGCTTGAGAGCAGCTGCAAAAGAAACTTGTGTCTCACTTTTTTCAGCTGAGATGATTTTTTTATTTTTATTTTAATATATATATTTAATATGTTACCTGGTCCAGATACAGGCGGCTCGGGTTTGTGCGATTTCTTCGGGTCCAGTCTGTCCTTCTCCAGCTGTTTCCGTGTACTCCGCTGTCGGGCCTCTCGGAACATGGGCAGAGCATGAGCTGGAGAGAGTAAACAAACAAATGTGAGTCCGAGTGGTGAACAGTCACATGGCCCCAGCAAACAAAAACACAAGAACCAATTATAACTCTAAATCGTCAGCCACCTCCTGGTGTAATTTACACCAACATTTTCAGCCACTCCATTTAACCTTAGACGTCTCTGAACGCCACCATAACAAAGGCTTCCCATGCTGAACTCCAGGAGCGTGCGGGTGACCGTGTGCACGATTAGGTGTGAATGAGTGCACTCCGAGTAAGTTCGGCGACGCTGTCTGAGCGTGTGTGGGCGACAGAGCATCTGTTTCAGGAAGTGTGTATGCTCTGCTCTCATCTTCGGGGGTTACAAGGAGACACTTTAGTGAAGAGCTAGATTAAGTGATTTTCCATTCAGGCGCTTCTGTCGCTGCTCAGTGTTAATTCTTCTCCATGCCACATTAAGCAAAAAGGTTACTGTTAACAGATTCCCTCGCTTTTCTCAATGGGCCGTCACTCGCTTCCTGCCCCGTCTAATTTTCCAGTGCCAAGGCATCAAGTGCGTCACTCACCACTTGGAGCAGCGAAATGGTCGACTATTTTACACCCTGTTGGCACGACGATGAGCTCACATGATGCGTCTGAAAAGCCTGAAGCAGTTCAAAAGGTAAATGTTGCCCGGGGTCGGAGGAGATGGGAGGCACGCACAAAAAAGATGACAGCCTCATGTGTCAGTGTTACGGTTGCGAGAGGGCGGCAGTTTGGAGTGTGTGCGGCAAAACCAGCAGAAGATCACGCCGGCAAGGGCGAGAGAGGAGGTCATCCTCTCGTGATTCCTGCGTGACAGGAAAGTACATAGCGGTCGCGTGGCTATCGATTCAATAATCCACACTCAAATCCATCAGCTAATGGAAGGGGTGAACATCCAGAACAAGCTGTCGCTCCATCCAAAAAGCCCTGCGGCATCAGATGGAGTTCGTCTGAATATCTGAGTGCGGGAGGTAGCATTAGAGCTGGCCTGACGAGAAACAGGCTCTGCTTGTCAAATCTTTGAAAAAGGTTTCCCAGATTATTTGTATTTACAGTAGCCAAATTGTAGGCAGACCACAGTGCTCAGCAGAGGCTGGAGACTCTTTGCAACAGGGCTTTGAAAGATGAACTTTAATCTGACGACCATGCAAGATAAATTGAGAGAAGCAGGAACGTTGCTGTTGCTGAGAGTTGCTGTTGTTGTGAAACAACCTCATTGTATTCCAATTCTGTCCCGTAAAAACATGGAAGAACTTACGCGTGATGATGTAATCTTGTGTTAGCGTCTCCGCGTGTTTCTCTTTCCGCTTGCTCTTTACCACACACAGCTTGGCCCCTCTGGAGGAAAAAGATCAGAAGCAAAATGGCTGAGCGATGATTTACAACATGTTGAACAGAAGATGCAATTTTCTAATACAACTTTGCATCTGCAGCCAAATCTTATTGTACCATTTAAACATGGAGGTAAAATTACTGTTATGCATGTCTATCCAAAAAGAACAGTACAGTATTTGCTTTGATTAAAACACTAAAAATATTCTAAGATTGGGGTTAGATTGCTGCATCTGGGCATCTTTCCTTCTTTTATTTTGTACAGTGACCATTCATTGAGAATTTAAACTCCGGTTTGAAAATTTGAAAGACAGCTTTAAATGACAGAAATTTTTCAGTGAGAGGGAGCTTATATCCTGCACAGGTCGCCTGTCATCACAGGGAAACACTGACTCACATTCGCATCCAGGCTCATAATCTCACCTGAGGGAATTTTAGAAATTTATGAACCTAAATTTCATGTTCTTATAAAAGGATGTGAAGCCAAAGTCTTTTTTAAAATAATGGACAAAATCAATCACAATTCAGTGTTTCTGGGTAGAAAGCTTTTTGAATTACTCAATCAACTCTTTTCATTGGTTTCTGTAGATTAATACTTAGGAATCCCTGTACACTGCTTTTATTTAATTAGAATTATTTTAATAGTCACAATTTTAAAAAAATAATTGTTGTTTGCTGATGGAGGTTCACCTGAACATACCTGTGACTTTTAACTGGATCGTAGTACACCTTGGCCAGTCCGTTCCCAGTACCCACCATAATCTGGTTCAGTTTGGGATGCCACAGGCAGCGAACAACACTCTGCATCAAACACACATAAAATTACTTACATCAGTTCAATTTTTATATACATATTTTTTTTTATATATATTTTACATCCTTCCTAAGTATTTAAGAAGGGTGTAAAATGGAAGACTGCGTCATTCTTTTGGTTTTTGACAGGCTTGTGTTCCCACTACTTAGACAACAGGAGGTAACAATCATATTTTATTCCCCACAGTAGTGAAAATGTGCAACCCAGGTACAGTGAGGAGAAGTCCCAGTGTGCTCTGCTACTCTAGTTGACTATATTTGGTTAGTGGGATGAGGGCTGAATCTCACTGTCTGTGTGTGACAGATGGCCTGGTGCCAATAGGCGAATGTGACCACATTTATCCAGAGACGGGTGTGTGTAACTCTCTCTGTGTGTTTATTTGAGAGAGCAGCATAGAGAGGGAGCAATATAAGAACAGCTGTTCGACAGTGATTGAGCTCTTCAGCTCATTCTGATATGTGAGATGCAACACATCTAAAAAACACTCCTCCAGTAGCGCCTCATTTTTCCCACTCGCTTAAAATGTCTGAGTGATCTGATTGGGGGGCATCTAAAGGAGTTTTGTGGGATGGGGGGCTGGGTAAGAGCACGCATACAGTGAAAGCTGCTTAACGTCCAGCTGTTCAGCTTCCCATCAGGACACCAGAGGAGCGAGTCTCAATCGTACACGCAAAATAAAACATGCACGCACAATCAAAGCAGCGCAGACATTTGTACAGAAAAACCACATTTCTTGTTCACTTTTTTCCCTTAATTTAGCATTTGGTAATACCGTGCATTACAGACGATCATTTCTCATTTGGTGGAAGCAGTAATCTACATACACCGATACATTTTTTATTTCACAGGAGTCACTTCTCTGTGATTTAAAGAGAAGTTGTTGTAATGTTATGGTTGATCACTTTACATCAACACCGTCATGTCAGGAGGTCACAGTGTCGTTTAACTCTGCAGCGAGATGAAGGTTAATCTGCTCAACCAGATCAGCTGATTATAACAGAGAGACCAATTTAAATTAAATGAGCCTCATGCTTTCAATAAAATACTAGTAGCTTTAAATGACCTCAAAATGAATGAATACTCCATGGTCTTTTTACATTTTGTCATGAAAAAACGAATTTCATTCCATTTCTTTGGGATTTAGGAGATCAAAAGTAGTGCATCCTTATGAAGCAGCACGGAAATACAAGATACATGGTTCAAAGTCTTTTTTGTTTGTTTTTTACAAATAAAATCTAAAATTGTGGTATGGATTTATTTTAATCCATACCACTCTTCCACTTTTATGCAAGAGTGGAAAAGCTAATGCCAAATAAAAACAATACAAGAAACAAAAGAAAGTCCCATTTAAAGTTTGATTTAAAATAAAAAAAGGTAACAGACAAGAAAGATTTGCTGATGAATGTACTCTGGTTAGATGAAATCTAAATTCAGCAATACTGGAAGCCTATTGCAGGTAGTAAAAGATTGGAAACAATGACCAACATTTCCAGCAGTCAGACATATGCCAAAAGATCTGCAGCGACACAGGTGGACTTTGCTAATTCTGTGATTTCTGAAGAAGACTGGTTGTTTTACAGCATCAAACTTCGATGGAAGAAAAATTCAGTTTTATTTTTACTTTTTATTTTCCCTTTTATTTGAAAATATTTTGAAAAGTAAAAAAAAAATTACATTTTTCTTCCATCAAAGTTTGATGCTGTGAAAGGATAACATATGGGAAAAGGCTCAATAGGCATATAATACAATTCTCTATAAAAGTTTTCTGAATTGATGCTATGGAAGACATGATACATGTATCAGCATGTAAGTCAGCATCATGAGCTGAAATCCAGACACTCTGGGTGTGCTCCAGTGAAAATGTGTAATGGGTTATAAATTGGCCTGTCAAGAATGCTACACTAACAGTGACAGTCGACTCATTCGAGCAACAATGAAGAACAAAGTCTGAGGTCTGGTTACACTCCAGAGGTGCCATCAAAGAATCCAGGTTAGCAGCACAGGCAGATCAGCCCGTAGTAATCGTAAATCCCAAATATCCAGCCAGGTACCGTAAACTCAGCCCATTTGAGTTCACTGAACGGTCTCCTCAGACTCAAACAAATCACTCTGTCAACAAACTTCATAGAAGCAGAACTGCAACAGCCCAGCTGAGTGCAGCCCGCACCACAACTGTATGCACAAAAACTAGCACACACACACACACACACACACAGCCAAGCCCTGCTCGGCCCAGCTTAATTGTTGGACTTCTTTCCAGAAATTCAGAGAAGCATGTTTATACTCCAAGAATCCCTGTTTACACTTTGTGTTTGCAGAGTTGATTCATGGAAGAAGACACTTTAATCAGTGTGTTCACCAGCAGCAAGATTCAGACGTCTATGTCCCACCAGATTAAAATGCGAAAGGACTGAACAAAGGTAAATGATTTGCCACCCACTTTCACAACATTTATGCCAATTATGAAATAAAGCCAGGCAACAGTAATGAGACCCGGCAGTATGCTACAATCCTTGTTCAGCACTGGTCGGCAGGCCAATTTAAACCTGCAGGAGAAAGGAAAACCAAATGTTTACCATTTAAGCCCCATGCTGTGACAGCTACTGTCCAAGAAGAAAGAAACAATACTTGAACAACTGGCAACGTCTTTCTGTCTGCCACACACCCTTTTAAAGCTCTTGGCGGAAATATAAGCTCACTTAGAAGAAAGCCTCCCTTTATTTCTGTGGAAATAATGATGTACAGAGCATATAAGAAGAAGTAAAAGTTAGTTAAACAGGACGGATCTGTTTAGCTAACAGATCCGTCAATTTGCTTATTTAAATTGACTTAATATTTCATTTAATGTTTAATGTTTGGATGAAAAGAGCAGATTTTTAAAATCTCAATTTAAACACTGCTTCTAGTGAGCAAGAACTCACTCTTACTCCTACATTTCCAAAAAATAAATAAGAAACACATCAGTGCTTTGTCTTTAACTGTACAAAACATGTTGAAAAATAAAACAATGTCAATACAACAATGTCTTGAAAAAAGTATATATGTGCACCAACTTAAGTGAAATTTAAAATACTTTTGTCATTAGTAAATAAGAAGCATCAGCTGACTGTGAGTCTTATAAAGCAATAGTTTTTTAAAAGAGGTTCTAGTAAAGTTATTGTAAGTAGTTAATAGCGTTTCTGTTTTAGATAAATCTCTCAGCAAATTTATTTAGTATAAATAGAGATCAGCTGGTTCTGGAGCCTGAATTAAGGTGATGGCTGGCCAGACATTGGCCAAGAGCAAAGTGGTAAACAGTTTTAACTGTTTACCAGGGATATTACTTATTTTTTTTTATAAATAATTTACTGCTATATCACACAGTAACTAACCACATATGCTTTTGGTCTTCTGTGGGACACTGGCTCTTCAGTCCCACAATGTCTCCTTATTTCCCATGTAAATAATAATCAATGTAACCTAAAAGTGGTTCAAAGGTTCTTAAAATAATGCTCACATAAACCAGAGGACATTTTGGGGAAGGGAGTTGTTTTACGATACAAGATTGATCCTAGATGAAGGCAAGAATTTATTTATTAGTAAATATTAGACTGCTTATAACCTTTTAATTGAATCTCACATTAAACATGCTGACTTATTGTTAAGATTATCATATTTTAAATTTAAGGGCTTCATAAATTTCGAAAAATAACTCAAGCTATTGTAGATCACTTGGCTCACCAGCGACTTGTAATAGCTTAAGCAATTGTTGTATCTGTTTGTTGTATGGCTTAAGCAGGCGGAAAATATAACTGTCAACATTTTGGTTTGTTTTTACTGTAGTGATTTACACCAAAGTGGCATACCTTCAAAGTGCTCTTGCAGTAAGGTAAGGATTACTTATAAGAGCCCATTGAAATCCTTGTTTTTAAGCCAAACCTTGTTAAAGATACTTTGGCATGATGAAGAAGCTGGCATTGGATCATTTAACAAAAATGCTTTTATTTTCATTGGTTGAATATACAGTAACTTGCTTCTAGGAGCCACATTTTTTGGCGGGTTTGCTGGATTGACTGAATGTATGGAGCTTAATTCCTATTATTTGCTACAGAGTGGTTTACTGTACTGTGTCTTGTTGTTTTGCCAGTGTACACATAAATCTAATTTTGAGGGGAAGTCAATAGAAAGTGCAATTAATGATGAAACATCCTAATTTAACATGTGACTAAATGCCTTTTAAGACTATGTGAACCATGAAAGTTAATTAATTAAGCAATAGGAAAACTAAAACTATGCATTAGATATTTTTTTTATTTAGTAAAACTAAACTCATCTATACAGTGACAAATTCTTTATTTTACTATAAAACAGTCATTTAAGATTTTCTAAGGACTTTTTAAGACATGGCCTGCAGAAACCCTGTATATCATCCACTGATGATATACAGTAAATAACCAATTTAAGTGAAGCTTAAAATACTTTTGTAATAACAAAAGTCAGCTGAATATTTGTGAGTTTTATAAAGATAAAACTCCACATCTGCAGGAGTTTATAACACACATGTTAAGCAGAAGGAAAGATGGTTTTATCAACTTTCAAGAGAAAGCAAGCGGCAGCTTAAGAGACTGTTTCATACAGCCAGGCAGTAGAACAAGTGAAAGGGGCAATAGAAAAATCACTTCCAAATGTTTACCCTCCCCTCAGTAGAGTGAAAAAGAAGACAAACGTCCACAGAGTGATGCAAAGGAGCAGAGTTGTGGGGAGCTAAATACACTCTTTGACCCCAAGTGTGTCCTTTGTCTGGTGCTTCCTAGACTGAATCTGGGTGCAAACAGACTCTGTCAAGAACATAAATCAACAACAGTAACTGCTTGGTCTTGGGATTTTCATGCTTACAAGGGATATGTGGTTTGTAATGAAATACCTTTTTCAAAATTGTCTTTTATAAAGTCAAAATGATGACCAAACAACAACAACAAAAAAAATTGCATCTTGACTTTTTTGAAGGCGGCAATTAGTACTGAAAATTCATGCTTCATTTTGAGAGACAGTCACACAAACAATCCTGGAACAAGTCATCGCAAGACAGATTACTGCCTTGGCAAAGGCACTTCCTCTTTACCGTCTGGGTTGAATTTTAATGCTGGTATTTTTAGCATTTTTTGCCATCAGAAGAAATAATACAATATTTTCAGATAGCTGCACTGACAGAATCATGTTACTCTCACTGTTAAGTTTAAGCAGACATTTAACAATTAAAAAAACATTTTAATTGTTTTGACAGCTGAGTGCTGAAGTATTGCATCAGAAGTGTGGCTTTGCATGGGTGTGTTTAGCATGAACAACATGCAAAGGTTTGTAGCATTCCAAATGACACCTTCAATGTGTTTATTTAACCGGTCTGAGTGTGTATTTCTTGCTCCAGCCCTGGAGAAGACAGTTACTGCTGAAGACATTAACCTCTGTCAAACTGTGGTGTTATGGCTACAGAGAGATCAAAAGCAGGATGCGACTGGACACATGTTTCTATAGTAGGCAGCAGCAGCTCTGGACTGCAGTTTAGCACCTATGATTGGCTGACTCCATGAAATGCAACTCTCAGAAAGCGGGATTAGCTTAAAGCACACCATTTGCTACTGTGTATGAAACATGATGATTGTGACCGCAGATAATTGCATTTCTAATACACTCAGCACATTTAAGAGCTTCACATCTTTCCTGGCAACAGTTTGAGTAAAATGGTGGAATGAGATCCTTTCTTTCTTTATTTTATTCCCACAGAGTTTGCCTCGAGTCATTTTAAGATGTTTCTCCTTAGGCCAAGATTTTCCCCAAATGCTGCAAGACTTACTTTTTATGTGAAAATGGAGCAAAATTAAATTTATTACCAAAATACAACCATATTGAGACATATAATTTTATAAAGGGAGATGCTTAGTTACTACCACGCGATGTTAAGACTGAAAGGGGAAAAGATTTTCCATTTTAAGCACAATGACTCATTTAAAATATGTTTAGGCTTAAAAGGCAATATTATCCAAAGCCAAAGAAAATCTAATATTTTGCCAAAAAATGCTGAACTTTCTACATTAATTTCACATATTGACAAGAAAAACTTGGACATTCACCAATAACAAAAAGTCAAAAATCTGCAACAATAAAGGATAATTTTTTATGACCAAAAGCATAAATTTCCAATCATGAAAGTAGAAATATCACCAAAAATTTGGAAGACAACTCTTCAAATTATCAGGAAAATCTCTGAAGTTTTGGAAGATTATAAAATCAGATGTGCTTGGCAAGAAATGCCCAAAGTCTTTTATGGATGAAGTGGTACATTTCGGAGATGTGACATTTTCAGAAGTCTGGTGAAATCTCCTCAATACATATAAACCTTAAACTCAATGACATATTAACTCCACTTAAATTTCTATTCATAGGAGTGGTCTTGGGTAAAATGTGAGTAAGTCAACTCCTTTAAATGTGAAGCAGGCCCACACATGGAGTGTCTCAGGAAACGTCTGTGCTTGGAAAACAGAGACGTGAATCAGGATAACACATTTTTGCTTTTTTGACACAAGTGAATCTCCAGATGTCACAAATAGTAGGAAGGAGGATTCCTCAGAGGAACAGTCTTATGTTGTCTGTCTTTCTACTCCCTGCACAGTTTCAGTTACTTTTTGGCAAAATAAAAATAAAAAAAATCAAAGTTTACCTTTGACTGAGTAGTATTTTGAAGAACTGCAACTGTTATAGTATAGTTTCAAGTTATTTCACCCATCTCTAGTTACATCAGTAAATGAACAAATATGTTTTCAGAAAAAATTGCACCACTCACAGACAAATATCAAAAGTTTTTGTTAACCGGAGACAAACATTTACTATAAATTTAGGTGGGATATGTGTACAGTGGACATGGTTTACATAAGGGTTCAGCAGCAACCAGAATCTGGAAAGAAAGAACACAGAAGAAAGGACAAAGAAAGAAGGGGAGAAAAAAACACAAAGAAGTAAAGAGATAGAAACAAAAGGCAAAAAGAAGACATAAAGAAAATTAAGGAAAGACGATAGAAAGCAAAAAAGCCCACAAAAAAAGGTAGGAAAGAAGTGGGGAAGCAAAGACAAGTAGGGTTTAGGAGAAAAGAAGAAAATTTAGGATGTACAAAAGGCATAAAGGAAGGAAAAAAACGACAGAAAGTAAAGGAAAGGTGATAGGGTACAAGGAAACAAAGACACAAATAGGTCTATAGTAATGGCACGAGGAAGAAAGAAAAAAAAAGAGTTTTAGAAAGTGAGGAAGAAAAAAAAGGACAAAGGAAAGAAAGTAATGAAGGAAAATAGAATGAACATAATAGAAGGGCAGAATCAAAGAAAGTATATGAAGAAAGACGACCAAAAGAAAGGACAACAAAAAGAAAGATATACTTTCTTACTCATATTTTCATCATCTGTACTTATCTAGACCTGGACAAAACTGAAAATAATTGCTGTCCTGAAAACCTCCAGTGTGTATTGCAGCAGAACTTACAGCGTTGGTGACCTCTATCTCATAGACCTTCTGAAAAGAAGCTCTGTCGAAGAAAACCAGCTTCCCATTTCCCTCCTCCTTCTTCACGGAGGTCCCTGTCACAACAAGCCTGTCATCAGGACTGAAACAGCAGTCGGTCCTGGAAGGGAAAGTCACACATACAAATATTTATAATCTACACGCGATGCACTCATACCAAGAACTGAAAACAAGCAGTCTATAAAAGCGGAGATGACCCACATGGAGAAGTAGTTGGTCAGCCTGTTAGCTTCGTTTACAGGTTTCCTGAAGTTGCGTATGTCCCAGATTTTCAGCGTGTCGTCCCCTGAAAATGAATACATTAATGAAACTTTAAAAGGCAAACTTTAAGGTCTGTATATTATTATGGAAGTGGAACTAAATAGTTAGCTCTCATTTACATTACATAATCATGTTGAAAGAAGGACTATTCCTTCCTCAGTTATTTTTGTTTATGTTTGTGTTAGCAACCTCTTAACGAGATTACATACCAAAAAGCAAAAATCTTTTGGTGTTTATCCACCTCTTGAAAGATTTCCGTGTTTTGTTAGTGGTGGGTCTTTGTTTTTTGTCTACTTAATGGAGGGAAAAGCACTTGATTTGCCTAAAATCCATTGTTTTTATCAAGTAGAGGTTGAATATTTTGATGCCAGTGACTGCAGCTGACTGGGGGCTCTGAGAGTCACAGTGTTTTCCATACCTCCACGGGAAGCAAGAGTGATGCCGTCATATGAAAAGGAGAGGCACGAGGTGTCTGATCCAGGAGTGTGGGCTTGCCGGCAGTGAAACTTTGTATGAACCTAAGAAAAAGGGTGAAAAAAGCAGTTGTCACACTGATTATTGCTCATTCAGGTGTTCTTTTTTTAAAAAATAAGTCAGTCATAATATTTCAGACCCAGCTCCTCTGTAGCTGTGTGTAAAATGTGTTTTATGCTCTCTTGTTATAGGAAACAGCCTGGTCACTGATTTAATAGTAGATGTTTAAGTTTGTCACTACAGTAACAAAACGACCCGTTGGTTCTCTGCGTCTTCAAAACAACATATGGTTCTCATCACAGCTACGAACACTGAACTAGCCCACCACAACCTATGAAACACAAGCAGGTTAACACACTGCAGCAACGTCACAGACATTTACCTTGGCAAACTCCACGGCTACAGCCAAACAGATGGTATTAAAAGTTTTTTTATATATATATTAAATCAAATTATGATGTTTTACAGAGAACAATTTATTGAGCAATAACTCACAGCAGACACATTTTGACTGTAACCACAGGCCTGACTGGCATAATTCTTTTTGAGGTTTTGTTGTAATAAGCATTTCTTAAACAAGTTTCTGAGTAACCAATGTTTTGTCATAAGTGTCAACCAATGTCCTAACTATAAGCAACCAAGCTTACGGTTTGTCAAATAAAGAGAGTCTGGGTTTTTCATAGCTGTAATTTACCTCAGATTAAGAGAAACAAAATATTTTTTATGTTTTCAGCCAACAATAACCATTAAGATTTTTTTTTTAATTTCATTGTTAAAAACAGAAATTCACACATCTGTTATGTGTATGTGTGTTTTCAAAATAAACTGTAGCAACGAATTAGGACTCTATTGATCAAAGTGTAAATAAAAGGAAAAAAGCACAGAAAACAACTGTAAACAAACTTTTTCGTACCCATTTATTTAAATATTAACTATTTCTACAAGTTAAAGACAGTCATAAATAAATTAAACCTTCTGTATAATGCAGATGTAATGTTAACGAATAAACTATGACATCTCGTCAAATCAAAGTAACTAAGCAATCTCTTGCAGGTAAATATGATTAATTAAGCCATTGTAACCAAGCCATTTAAGATTCACCCAATAAATTACAAAAAAATTGTTCTAAACATGGCTGTGGGAAGTACAAATTGACAAATTGGCACACAATAGTATTCTCTCACAGTAGATGATGCATTTTCCATTCATTTATTCAAACTTCCATTTATCTGAGGAAGTAGGAGGTTCAGGAGGGAATTGCAGACATCTCTCTGTAGTGAAGCTCATTTTAGGGGGCTAAATTCTCTCCAGCTTAATTTGGATCTGCTGGGCTTTTGTCCCAGTTGGACATTACCAGAAAATCTTCAAAGAGCACAGGTTCAAGAGGCATCCTGATCAAATGTCTCTACTAGCCAATAAATGTATATCGGTAGCCCTCACTACTTCTAGTGACACTTTAAATTTAACTCAGATATGTGCCACAGCAGATCTGTCCTTGGTTGGACAGAAGGATGTTTGCTACTAAGATGTTACAATGGTGATAGCCAAATCTGAACGACAGCATCCATTTATGTGAGTGCATATGTACTGGCAGTCATAAACTGTAAAGAAATATGGGGTTAAGACAAAAAATTGAATTTTACTAAATATTCAAAATGTTCCCCCCTCTACTAACTTTTTGATTTAAAGCTATTTCTAGGCATATTAAGATTATTATTCTAACTGTAAGCAACACCATACTGCCAAATAAAAATAAAACCATTCAGGTCTAAATAAAGTTGCTTGAAAACCGTGTTTGAGAATCACAGCTCTGTGGAAAGCATTACTGCATCTTTGCCTTTCTGCTACCCCCCAACATTCACTGCCCACTTTACCTGAACACAACCAAATTCCAGAGACTCGATCATTAGTAGACGACGGTGAAGCAATAAGCCCGGGAAGTAGGCTTTCTAACGCTCAAACAAACATAACCTTGGTTTATACAGCCACATTGTCATTAATTCTAAGAGGAACACAAATAAGTCAGTGAAAAGGCGAATTGCAGCACTGCAGGTCTTTGACCAAAAAAAGCAGTGGATAAGGAATTTGAAGTGAGCACACACTGTGGAGGACAGATAACATAGCGAAATACAGAGAAAAACTTGCAGGAGAGAGCAGAGCATGAGCTGAATGAGTGATGTGCCCTCATGATAACACAAAGAAAGGGGGCCATACTTCACCTCCAGAGCAAGTGAAGGGAAGTTATTAACTTGCTTCAGACGGATAACAGTGTTACCTTGGAGTGTAGATAACTTGGATTACACTTTCTTATGCTTGGTCTCCCCTGGGAATAATTTTCTGCTCCCCCATCATCAAGATTACTTTAAAGTTAATGCTTTTCTTCTCCTTTTGTGTCTTTAAATATCTTTTAGTCTTCATAGTCTTTTTTGCTGGACTAAAATTAACTTGTGGTCGTTGTAAAATAAAATTCAGAAGGGCAGTTTAAGTCCAAAACTGCCATTTTAATCCATTAAGGGGCAATTTTAGACTTACTAAGTAGCAGCTGAGGTGAAGTGTTAATACATGTGGCTGTGATGGCCTCCATCCCATCTTAATCCTGACTGAATTTCAGCTATTCTGTGCAAATTCACAACAGGAACAAGGACCACGTCTCTGTCCAGATGGGCCGATTAGAAATGTTGTTGCACTTGTCTCACCATGGAAATGGGTCAATGAAACAGATTCAGGTTGCCTTCTTTGGGCTGTAGTAAAACCAGAGAAAGCCTGGAGTGATACCAAAAACATGCTCTGCGAGGGGAGAGTGATGAGATTCGCTTTACAGAACACCAAAAACAACTGTCCAGATGTTTGTTTTTCATCATTTCTCTCTCTAAATGAACCTGCTCAAACTGAACTCTTTACTAGAACCACAGTTTTCCCATGTAAGCTAAAAAAGAATGTTTGGGACTCCTGCTTGACGTCAGATTAATCATCCCGTACTGTTTTCCTTATTTCTGGTCTATCGTTTGAAAAATAATGTCAAATGCTGCCAGAAATTCGGTTGGTTTGTATGTTATGCAGAACATAATTTCCTTGAACGATTCACAAGACCAAAAATAACCTGAAAGAAAGAGATGTTGGCGGCATCATGTTGTGTTGTTCCTTTCCTCTACAGCAGGGGTGTCAAACTCCAGTCCTCGAGGGCTGCTGACCTGCAGTTTTTCGATGTGCCACAGGAACAAAACACAGGAATGAAATGGCTTAATTACCTCCTCCTTGTGTAGATCAGTTCTCCAGAGCCTTGCTAATGACCTAATTATTCTATTCAGGTGTGGCGCAGCAGAGGCACATCTAAAAGTTGCAGGACACCGGCCCTCGAGGACTGGATGTTGACACCCTTCGTCTACAGGTTGTAGGAAGCTAACTAGAATTGATCGGAAGCTAGATTAAGCTAAATTCAGGGTAATCCTGGGAGAAATTGGGTTGCAAAAGACTTGTGAATGAAGAAATATATATCCAATTAATCTGTAGCAAGACTTAATCAATTGTTCACACATGCGGTGCTTCAAACCTGACTGGCATTCGCTTTTGGTTGGCAGTTGTGAGAAGCTGGTAGCGTGGCACCTCAAAAGGCTTGTGGCTGTGATTGAGGAGGTTTGAAAATGTATCTGGAGGCTGAACACAAATGCACACCACACTTTTCAGAATCCTCTTTCTTGAATCATTTTCTATCCCCTCCCACTACTTTATGATAGTTGATGTAATAAAATCCTAATAAAAAAACCATTTATGAGTGAAACATGAAAAAGGTCAAAGAGTGTGAACATTTTTGCCAGATATTCTACATTTATATGTTTGCACCAAACTTTAATCAAGATGATATCTGATGGCATTTGGTTTCTTCCTCTGCATGCTGTGATAAGAATCTCCCACTGCACCAACTCGTCCAAATCACGATATCGGACTAGAATTATACAGCTCTAAATCTCTACTTTTTCCACATATTTACAACCGAACCCCTAAAAGATGTCGATTCCCTGAGTGCGGTCAGCTTACGTCTCACTCTGACTTTGTTACTGTGTGGGGATCCAGCCGCTGAGCCACACTCCTCAACAGCTGCTATGATCTTTCAAGGAAATCAGCAAGATGTGACAGCGAGGCTGTGTGTGTTTGGGAATCACACACACTGGAACGAGAGGCCAGATAGTCTAAAACGTTTGCTGTGTTACTGGAACTTTCCATCATATCTCAGTAATGTAGTAAAGGAAAAGAACAGTTTGTAAAGCCTGAAAATATTTAAAGCAGTTAAAATGTTCTCCTCTAATGCTGTTGGGTTACAAAACATGTTGTAAAAGTTAAATAGAGTAATGATTACAAAACTTGTACAAGTAATGTTGTATAACTTCTCTAAGCAGTATTTCTTTTAATCAAAGTCTCTTTTAAGACAAAATATTAAATATTTTTAATGTTGGATTTTGTGACCAACCTGTGTAAACAGAACTGTCTTGAGTATTTTACAGAAGGACAGTAAACTATTATTTACTTATTTACTGCTAAAACATGGAGCAATTAAAACAACTCAGTTCAGAGGTTATCTACAAGTTTTAAGGTTCAAGTCAAGCTAAAGCACAATTTTCCGCGTTTGAACACCTGACTCAGGTGATTGGAGTTCAGCAAAACCCTGTTAACTAGCCTTCAACTGAAATCAGGTGTGCTGAAACAGGGAAACACTGAAAACATGCAGGGCAGTCTGCCATGAGGAAAACGGCTGGGGAACCCTGGCTTAAGTTACTGAAACATTAGATTTTTTTTTTTTATGACTACATGATAAGCAGCAGCAGAGTTCAGCCAGTTTCTCTAGGCTGGCTGGACACTGCTCTGCTCACTAGAGGCACTAAACCCAACTTCTAAAATGATCAATTTTATTTTAAGGTCACCTGACAAAGCACCTAAAAACCATCTCTGATAGTGATATAAAAAACAGTTCTATGGAGTTTGGAAAAATTTGGAATTTGCTTTTATTAATTTGTAAGTCTGGATGAGCGTTTAGGAGTGAAAAGAAATGATAAAAAAAATTATTAATTTATCCCCTTTTCTAAAAAATGAAAACATTTTGAAATAAAGTTCTTTTACTCCTTGATTTAAATTTTATTTAAAATTGAACATTTTCAGCATTTTAGCCATCAGTAGTTTATCTTTTGAGGTTTGAGAATTCTTAGTAGAAATAGAATAGAATAGAATAGAATAGAATAGAATAGAATAGAATAGAATAGAGTATATATTATTGTTCAGCCCAAAATCAGTTATTATTCAAACCAGAATCCGGATTAAAGTAATCTTTAATTTGAACGTTTCTCCTCAGTGGAAGTAATATTAAAGTTTCTGAGTGGTTCAACCACAGTCCAAACTTAAATCTGATAGATAATCTTAGCAGGGAGTTGAAAATTAGGTGATGGCACCCAAACCCAAAAAGTCAGACCTCTACACCAAAGACAAATTGTAAAAATATCTGTGAAAAACTACAAAAATCTGGTCAGCAAAATAAATAAAGGGTTTGATTGATGCACTATATAATAAATTGTACATAGCATTTTGTTTTATTAATTAGAACATCTGTGTACCTTTCCAATCAAACATAAAGGCCTTGATTGAAAAATAAAATAACTATGTCTAAATTTGCCTCACTTAACTGCAAACTCATTCAAAAATAAAAGCATTTCTATTGTGGAACACAAAGATATGAAATGTAAGAATTACACATGCGTTTTCCAACTAGATATTTCAGACTGCTGGTTAAAAATGATCTTTTAATATTTGATATTTTTCAGTCACTAGCTAATTTTGAATGCTATGCAGATTAGCATAGGAAAGAATACACTCTCTTTTGCAGATTTTAAGGGAAAGTCAACCATGACACATGAAGAAAACACTTGCGCTGATCGATTTATTTCAGCCATCTCGTTTGTGGTCCCACTTTGATGTCTGGAAACATGAAAGTACATCGCTGACATCATAGCATTCCTCAACTCTCTGCGGTAACGTTTTGGACAGAGGACAAGTCTCTTGTAGTGTTCATAAGCCTGGCAACCTGAATGCGGCCTCGTAATTGTGGTCAGGGGGATGAACATGCAATTCCTCTCTGTGGCAGTCCACTGGACGTGACCTATTTGACTCCCATCGCTGGATCAATCAGCTCATGCCATGGTTCGAGAACACAATGTGTCATCCCCAATAGCTTCTCCTAAGGCTGAGCCGCAGATCAAGGTCACGTATGTAATTGATCGTGACTGACCTGCCTGCATATTCTGTGCATGAGTAATAGTAGCAATATAACAGGAGATAGGCCTCATTTGAGTGGAGGAGGGAGCAGCAGTAAAGCAATGGAAGGTCAACTCCTTTTTAGGGTTTCAGCTGAATTTGAGTCAGCAGCACAGGTTGCTGATTAGGGCAGAGGGCAACACGCAAAATTCTTGAGCCATTCAAACGGGGCAGGCTCCAGTGGTCAGGAGAGAGACACGACTATTGTAAGCTGCTATGGGACACAGGGTAAATATTTAGCCTGGAGAAGGAGGGGTAATAAATTCTGAGAGCTTTAACCCAATCACTTGAGGCATGCTGCTTTCTGCAGCACAGAGGTGGGATGATGGGTGGCTGGGGAAGAGGTGGGAGTCTTTATAACACTAGGAAGCACACAAAAAGAAAGAAAAACATGAAGCTACGCTCTGTGTGTCTTTTGATTATGAAGTTGGCTGTTGGAGCAATTATCATGTAGCCTACTTCCCATTTGACTTAATCTGGATAAGCCCTTCTTTCCAATAAAGCTGTTCCAACTCACTAACCACAGCTTGATTGTTACTGTCTCAATCCTTGCAGGATATAACAGAAGCTTTCAGCTTTCTTCACACACTGTATGCGGTTTCACAAATGCAAAAAAAAGAAGCAGAAACAAGCCAAAAAAACATTATTTTCCAGTAAATCGTCTAATGTCATCTGCTAATTTTATTGCCATGATACTTAGTTTGCCATGTGTTTACTGCTCTTATCTTTCTACAAAATAGCTTCTTCAATGTAATTTTTTCAGCTAAAAATTAACATAATCCTAAACTGAACCTAAAACATCAATCATTTGCAGGCATTACACACATATCAACTTAATCTGTTCAAGGGAGTCTGCAGTTTTCTTTGTTTGATGAAGTTAAATTTAATTATTAAAAAAAGAAAGCAAAAACTCTCACAGACCAACAAGAAACAGCAGCTTAAAGTATTCCTTGGTTGCCCAAACACTAACCACAGTCTAATATGGAACAGCCATCTTTATGGAAAATGGAGATGCTGCATTCTCCAGTTCATTTTCATCCACAGTGAAGATTTTTAACAGCTGAAGGAAAAACAGCCAAACAAATGAGCACAAAGCTTCCTACCAGCCAAAATAAACTCCTACCTAGACAATGTGAATCTTTAAGAATGTACGGCAGCCTTTGATCAGATAATTGTCTAATTAGCTAATTGTGGAAAATGTGCTGGTGGGAGTTTGTAATCAGGCCTCCCAGCAGCTTTTATGCAACTCAGGCTATTTTGAGCCATACCATTAGAGTGGCCGCACTGCGCTCCTAGTAAGTGCATAAACTCGATCAAAGAAAAAAATGCCATTAAACAGTTGGATTACATAAAAAGGTTGTCGATTTTCCCTCAAAGGATGAACTGTAATTAATTTCCCTGAATGTTTCTGCCATCACCATCATTGAATCAGATTTAAAATTTGTTAAGAGAGTTTTTTTTATCAATTTTAAGCAGATGGAAGTTTACCAGTTTGAGGGGGGCGTCTAGGAAAATAATTTAACTTTAAAACATCTACTTTTGCTCCCATAATTTTGAGTGCTGGGCAAAAATACAAATGAGCAACTTACAACGTTCATAAAATATTTTATCAGAGCGTTGATAATGATGTCATAGTTTGATCTTCTGTGTCAGTTTTCATTTGGCTTAGCAGATGCTTAAAAACATCAATTACAGAGATGGGAAAAGTAACACCCCTTATACTTTTTTAGAATAAAACATATAAGTGAATGAAAAGAAAAAGTTTGGGTCAAAATTGACATTTTACTCCAAACTCTTCACTTGGCTATTTGCCTATTGCATTCTGGGACTGTTTTATGTAGGACTGAGCCTGAGACAAAGAAATTCTGTCAGACGAGAAGAAGTATGGAGAAGCTTTCAGAATCATTTGCAAAATCTAATACTGCAAGCAGTCCTGTTCCACTAGAATATTTCTCTCTCATATTTCCAAAGTTATTTTGGCTTTATTTGTTTAAATAACTGACTTGATTTAAACCAACATATTTGTTGTTTATTTGGTCCCTGTCAGTTGTATGCACTACAGCCAGGTTTGAATAGAAGTGCTTAAACGATCACTTGGCGGCTGTCTGGACAGCTTTTTATGTTTACTGGGTCAAAATGACTTCTGTTGATGGTTGTCGGCTTAAAGTATTTCTTCCTGATATTTCATCTTACAGTTATCCCACAGTATAATGCTAAGGAGAGTCATTTTAGGTGAAGTCATGAGGTAAAAGGCATTTGAGTTCAACTTACCAGAGTTACATCCAGTCCTTGGCAGTTGTAGTGTAAAAGGTATCTATTCCAAATTATTTATAGCCAGTGTTTGGTTAACCTGTGGTCTCTTTGGCCTATGACTGGTTGACCCTGAGTTTCATGACTCCGTATGCACAGCTATACTGAAGCCACTAATCCACTCCTGCAATCTACGATATGTTGTGGCGGCTGGAATGTGCTTTAACACTCACGCTCATATTTCTGTCCCAGATCTGGATGGTGCCGTCTTGGCAACCTGCTGCGATGAGCTTCCCGTCGCGGCTATAGGTGCAACAGGTGGGGACAACCTTCTTCCCCTGCTGGGAGCGAGGTTTGAACACCGACTTGTGGTTCTTCTCTGAGTTCACGTCCCAAGTGCGCACAGTGCTGAGAAAAGGAGATGAATGTTACACTTTAAAACATATTTATTCATTGATGACACATCAGGATTTTAGTTGATTTATAATGGCTCACCTTGCTCAGATGAGCAGGATGAGCCATTTGAGAAGGGGAATAAAATGAAAACTTTGTATTATTGTACAAATATGTGATTTGATTCTAATACAAATATAACATAACATGCAAACTTTTCCAAATTAATTATGGTTAAACACTTTGAATGGTATACATGTTTGGCATTTACACAACACTAGAAAACTACTATCTAAATACTCATTTTGAGGTCAAGAATACATTATTTTAGAGCAAAAAATGAAATTAAGTTGTTCCAAAACTTTAGGACACATTGTCTCAAAGGAGAACATTTTACCTTCACACCATGTTTTCAACTCTATCTAAGCGTAAATCTAAACAGCCATTTTGTGACTGTATAGAGACAGCACATGCCCAAATTACTTAGTAAAATCTTGTCAGAACATTACAAATAATGTTCTTTTCTTTTGTAGTTCCATAATCTCACAACAAATAAAAGGAACTAGAATGAATACAGTATGACACAGGAGTTTCATTACTCATTCCTCAAAATAGGAAAGACAACAGAACCTGTAATTCAAGTTAGGCAATCTCAATAAGTGTGCAAAAAATTAGCTGCTTATAAGAGGGAGTCTGGAAATGTACAGAAATGTAACCCTTTGCATTTTTAAAGTAAAACACGTACATGTTTACTCAACCTCTCATGCTGCCACACAAACTCTCACAGCAGGCCGGAGTATATCTAAATGTGTCTGCGACCCGCTGCTCACCTTAGTGAACATCTTACCCCCCTCTGGGTCATGGGATCAGCAGCGGAGTATAAACACACACCCAGAGCAGCTACGAAAAGCCAGGCAAGGATTCCTCCATGACAGGCCACAAAGACGCACACATACACTCAAGTGTGTTTAGTTAAGTCTAACAACTCGATGCAACTGCCAGCAGAAGACGTATGATTTGAAAACTGCCAAGAGTTAAAAAATATAACTCGTTTTGGTGACTAAAACCATTATAATCTGTTATAATCCAGTGCTTTAGGATAAAATAATCTGCTGAAAATTATTGTGATGTAATTAATTACTTTCTTAGTATAACCTGGACACTTTAAAAAGAGCCTCTGTATAGGTGGGTGTGTTGGAAAATTAAAGTTACAGCCGTGGAGTGGGTGACAAATAAGTTCACTTGCTGCACACACACACACATACATCTCTGTTTTGTTTAGTGAAGATCGGAGGCATCTTGGCCAATAAAGCCAATATAACCTTTAGAGCCGCACGCAGAACCTGGAATGCTATTTATCTTAGTGGCGCTTTTCCACTGGGGGAAGACTGGAGACCCTCACCTGTCACCAATAAGAGGCTTAGTGAGGAAAAGGAAATGGAAAGTGTTGGCTCTGATGTGTGACTTGGTGAAATGGTTCATTTGAATGTCTTTCTGGTTGAATGAGTTACAAAAATAATAACACAAGGTGAAACTATTGAACTTGAAAGTTGGAGAACTTAAATACCATTTCGAAAATTGAAGATGGTTTGTGTCAAAGTATGCACAGGCCATAGTAAGATTCCATATGGTTAAAGGATCACAGTATTCTGTTTAAGATATATATATAAATAATGTAATATGTCTATATAAATAAGTGCTGATCATTCATGCACATTTCAGTTTTTTGCTTTAACTTCCTTTAACTTTAAACTGATCACCTCTAATACCACTGCAACAGTGTTACCATGTGAAGTCTAAAAATGAAATTACGGTTTTACTCTATATGTTTTTTTATTATAATTTTGCTGCTTCCGTTCTCCAACTTGTGTTTTCACTTCAATCAGCCGCCCCCTTCTCCTGCACAAACACTCCCCAGACTAAAAGGTGAATGTAGCAGAATGAAACCCATACAACCGCAGTCATGCATGCACACTATATGTGGCAACACCTTCATTTACACATCGACTGAGGAGAGACGGCTCTCCTTGGCCCCAGGTTTTATCTGTCCATCAGGTTACAGACACCACAGGGGTGATGGTTGCTGGGATTTCTTTCACAGATGATGAGATAAGGAAAAGTGAGACACACATCTTATATGAGGGTGTTTTACTGGTAATTCCAGTGATAGCTAGTTGACTGATTAACTGGGACTCTGTTATGGGAAAGGAGGATTAAGAAGGGAAGATGCTCCATGCTCCTTCACAGCTGAAGAAGATAAAGTTGGGAAATAATGAAGAGGTTTAGGGGGAGGGATACACGGAGTTACACTCAAGCAAAGATGCTAAATGGAAAACAATGTGGACAAAGCGCAGATGGACTGTAAGAACAGCAAGGGGCAAAGTTCCTCTAATTTAACAACACTGTCTGGTTTTAAGCAGCTGAATATCTGCCCTACTTTCTGTAAGATTGAGTCACAACATCATTGAGATTTAATCAAGCTACTGTGCCATTAGATCCGTTCAGAGGAAGAAGAAAAAGAAAGAAATAGCTCATAGCTAGCACATAAAAAAGACAAAAGTTACTGTCAGTCATGGCTGCAGAAAGAACAAAAACGGACAAATGCATTCATTTAGTATGTGCATTCTTGCGCAGGCTATGGAACGCTTGCACTGCAAGGAAGGAACATTTGGATATGAACTGGACTGTGGATGAACCCAAAGTGTCCAATGAGGTAAATCACCTCGACATGTTCACTCACTCAGCGTTCATCCCTAATACACTCCTCAAAAAAAGGTAAAATTCTAAAGTGAACATTAAGTTACCCAAGTTTCTTAATATGGCACAAAAAACATTTTAAAAAGAATGTACTTGTAAATCTCTTAGACAAAAACCGCCACCCTGGGCTCTGTGGTTTGTGGCAACTAATCCAGGTCCAGCTGCAGCCTTGGCAGAAGGCCAACACAGAGGGAATCCCTGGCATTCAAACATCCTGAAAACTTTCCTCAATTTGTGTGTTTTTGTGTGCACCCGTACTCAAGTGTGCCTCATGACACAAAAGGGGAAAAAAAAACATGTGGGCCCAATTAGAAAGTCGCCATTTGTCCTGTTCTCAGTTCAACTGGCTGAAAATTCAGTCACAAAAGAAGAAATCAGAAAACCATTCCTACAATGCTCCTGGGATCTATAAAGCAGCATTCATCAAAACAAATGTTCTCCAACAGTGTTCTCCACCCTAAATAAACTCTATTTAGGGTGGAACATACCCTTTGGCAAGTATTAGATGATTATTGATACTCATTAATAGAATTTTTATTTGAACAGAAATCATGTCAAACCCAAGATAGTTAAACATTTTGTAGTTGCATTTGGTTTAATCATGCCTTTTTACAAGATACGCCATGGATTCCAGTCACTTTCTAATAAAGAAAAAAGTGTTTTTGACAAAGCTCTTCAGTCTTTCAGCAAACGGATAGTTAGATCTGGGTCAACACATAATAACCTCCCTTGGATAAACCATGTATTTGCTGGGAAACATTGTGCCATTAAACACTTTCAAATCTGAAATGTCGACATGTTCACACCAGTGTGAGAAGAAATACTTTTCCAGCTGTACAGACTTCCCTATTCAACCCATGGTTTTGGAAGAACAATCCCAGCCTCCCTGCTGCGGCATTGTCGCTGTTTCCTCTTATCCACTTCCTCTATTAAGGGCATAATTTAAGAAGCTTGGATGTAGACCTTGTGAATGAGACTCTGTCCAACGACAGGGGTTCCTTCAATTAAGAAACTGGGAGGTCTGGAGATCATACATCATTACCGATTCAAATTATTATTGCAGAGACCTCCTAAATAGGCACCATAGGTGCTAGTTTTATGGTGAGACAAACCCAACAACAGGCCGTCATTAGTGTTTACAAACTCAATGGATAGAGCACATCATATCTCATGGGTGGCAAAATGAAGAAAGGATTCTTTGACAGACCAACATGTCAGACTGAAAGGTTGACTTCACTGTGTTGCTTCCAGACTACAATTACAACATTGTAGCAGTTTAAATTGTCATCAGTTAACAGGTAGGCTTTTTGCTTGAGGCTTTTTAAAAGAGGTTTATTTAAAAGTTATGAGTATTTGAGATCTTTTCATATACAGACGGTATATCATGAAGCATTGAGAGAATAATTCAGAATTTCATTCGCTTTTACAATTTGGTGACATTCTGAGTGTTAGGGCCTATGTGATTAAGGATGAGTTGAAAGAAAACAAATAAGACGATGAGTGTCACGACTTGAAAAGTTTTTCACTTCATCCATCAAGGCCAGTAGTCTGCAGCCCTGTTGTGAGGACATATGTCTTGAATGTTTGAAGGCCGTTTTATGCTCCCTTAAGGGCATAAATATATCCACCAGTTTCTAATGTTGACAAGTGTCACAACCCTCATGATGTCAAAGAGTTCATTAATTAGGCACGGTTGATTTGAAATATGTATACTGTAGGGGGCGGTTCATGGTTTAAATTAAGAGGGTTAGAATGACTCTCAAAAAATCCTAAAGGGATTAATAAAGTCTGTTTTTCTTCCTTCTTTTCTTTCTATCTCGGCTGCCAGAGGGACAATATAATGAAAATGCAGGTCATTTTTAAAATGAAAGGAAAAACAATAGAAATATATAGTCATGCAAAATAAATCCTGCATGACTTTATCTGGACAATAAGGTTTTCAATTTATATCATTTTCAGCTGTTAAGTTCCTCTTGAAATAAATATTTACAATAAAAACCCTACAAATTAACAATCCATAACTCTTTTTCAGTATGTTGTAAAAAAAAATAAATAAATAAAGGTTATCTCTGACTGAAATTCAGAATTATGCATGATCCGCCCTCCGGATGCTCAAGGAATATGATTCCCTACACCCCCTTACTCCAGCTGTGTGAACATATCTTTAGTCAGAAATTTTACAAGTGTGGGCAGCAACTTAGGAAAAAGTCCAGAGCAAATGATACGCTCATTCTCCTCAACATCTCCTATGTTCATCTGTGAAAATGTTTTGAATGGGAACCATAAAGCGAGAGCTGATCGAGTTTTCTAGATGAAGAAATCTGATTGTCTTTGCAATTTGACATTGTTTTTTGAATATTTTATAATTCCACATACTGTATCAACCTCACAATTTTCTCAACTGAGTGCTTCTAAAATGTAAGCAGTTCTGAGTCTTTGATAAATAAAGTGCTTTGTTTACTGGTGCATTGAGGATCGATGACATCCATGCTCCACTACATGAACGGCTTAAGCAGTAGCCGGGGCCTGCTTCCAATTAGTCTGATGGCCTGGCCATTAATTGACATTTCTGGAACCACTTTAAGCCCAGCTGATTTGTCACTTTTGTTCAAATTGGGTTCTGGTCTTTATTTTCTGGTACGTTTAGCAGGTTTGGGAGAAAAATGCAGATGAATATTTTCTGACGTTAAAGATAAAACGTAATTGTTAATGTAAATAGAAATATTTGGGAATTTGTAATTAAGGTGCAAACTAAACATATTTTGTGCTTCTTATGAACTGCCAAAAGCTTTTGAATGTATTTATAAAAAAGTAATACAAAACTATTTTAATATTATTATAATAATAGAGTTCTAACAAACAACAAACCAATAGTAAAAAAGAAACTCCAACATTTTGCCTATACAGTGCAACATAGTAAATCATGAAATGTATCATGCAATAATAAATTATTAGAGGTAAAGGAATTAACGCCCCACACCAGACACTGTGTAGTCCCTTCCACTCTTCCCATCGATACGCTCAGCCTGCGCTGCTGTCCTGCTCCGCTGCAGTGAACCTTTCACACATGCAGCTGCTCTCTGTCTATGAATGGCTCCCTGTGCGCTCCTCACTGCTGATCTCCTGCGAGTAGGCCAGGGGCAACACCCAGCACTAAAGTGCCAGCGGAGGATTTCCAGACTCAATAAGAGCTAAATAAACCAACAGCCACATCTGGGAGAGCAGTTAAACTGGTAAACACCGCAGAGCTGAACTCTCGTTTCCACTTAACGGTGATAACCTCCTGTTTCTGCACTGCTGCCTGTCACACTCACTTGCTCTCATCGCGTTGCTGTTTCCCTTGCACATGTTGATGCACAAATATTACTGCACACCTGAGATGCTCCAAACCTAGTAGTCTAATATAAAGTGATAGCCATATTTTTTGGCACTGCTAACTGCATAATGAGTTTATATTTCAGCATAACTTCACTGAAGAATATAAAAAATATCAAAAAAATGACTCAACAAAATCTTAGAAATGACTGGTTTTGCTGTTTTAAAATGCTTTGCTCAAAGCCCTTTTGAACAGCACTTACTGTGTTATGCAACACAAATTTGGAGAATACAGAAAGACACTTTAGACTTTCTTTCACTCCTACAAATGTTCATGTATTTTATTTTGTGCCATATGCTACAGTTTTCTGCTGTTAAGTATAAAATTTCCCAGCGAGATCAATACCTCCTTCTTTTCTCTTCAGCAAACTAAACAATTTCTGTTCAACAAGTTTTCAAACAGAAATTAAGTGCAGAGACAGTAAAAACGACAAAAAAATTTAACAACTATTTCCTGTATCTCGTGACGCATTCTTGTGTTCACCTGACTGTATGTTTTAGATCGTCATCATTGAGAAAAATCAAGATAAAGATCTACTAGTTTTTCAGATTTCTATTTGTCAATCTACAAGAATTCAAAAGAGGTTATAACTCCACACTAACATGGATTCCATCACCTAAAGAAGAGAAACAGGACCACAGCATCCCAGATCATCAGCCACAAATTCCTTATTTGTTTTACACAAATCCCACCTGGAGTGTTTGTTGATAAAACGTCAATCTAATAAGAAGCTTCGTCATAAATTTCAATTGTCCAAAGCAAATGGTTGCATTTACAACCCCAGTAGTGCTTAGTCAAATCCCTGGTTTAGATTTGTGATGTTGGGCTTCACTCCCAAATAACCAGTTGTGGGGTCTAATGAAAGTTGGGAAGATTTGGCAACTCCCAAGATACTTCACTAGTATCCAATAGTGAGCTTTTGTCCCCTCCTGTTTATCATGCGCAGCAGGAAGTGAAATATTGGTCCCCATTCAGTCTAGTGGCTAAAAGAAATGGACCTCAACAATGACCTGTTTGTATGCCAGTATTTATTGTATTTATTCTTAATTAACCAATCTTTGCTTTTTGAAGAAAATGTGATAAATATGCTTGCATGTCATTGTTATGTCTTTCTGTTAGTCCAATGCAAATTACCAAAAAATAAAACAAAATAAATAAAAAAAAACATTTGTTGGGACTATGGTACTCCCTGGTGATAACCAGAGAAAAGGGAACAATTAAAGTGCTTCTTAGTGAAAACTGCTTTTCACACTGAGTATTAATCTTGAGATCAGAATGGTTGGATGTTTAAACAAGAAAATATCTGAAAGCAGTGCAGAAACAGCATCTTGGTAACCATTTATTTTAATGACTAAAGTTGGGCAATTATGTTTTATTGGAATGCAATGGAAACAAAAAATAATAATGAAGGTGCTAAACGTTTTGCTCACTCTACACTTAAAAACTCACCCATCATTTGAGCAGGTCATGAACTCCTCTTTAATCTTAGGATGCCAGCAGCCACAGTTCAGCATAGCTGTGTGTCCCTGGAAAAAAGACAAATAGATAAGTAAACTACTTAAAACTGAGCCAGCTTTGACAGGCTGCACGCAGAAGGATGATAATGGGGATTTTGTTGTCTAATGTAGATTAACCACATGTTCAAAAATTGAAGCTGCCACATATAAGTGTTTTCAAACCCACTTAACATTTAGAGACGAGCCAAAGAGGTTGCAGTCAGAATTAACAAGGAGATTTAAAAGGCTGAATGTTGCCAAGACCAACCAATACAATGTGTAGTTTAATTCTAAACCAATTATACAATAAGACAGCAGTTGTTCGTTATTGACAGTAATTTCTGTGTGACCATGGATTTTTAGTTCTCAGTGTTGTAAACTGCAAGCAAAAATTAACGCCTAAATAAAAAGGAACGTTTTTTTTCCCCCCATATGTCTGCACTGCAGAGGAATTTCCATTGAGAAAATGACCCTTAATTTGAGCAAGCTTTTAAACTAATTTCTGGCCTCCAGCAGCATAGACCTTGCTTAGCAAATGAGCAAGTAAATTTTGAGACTGAGCAGGAGGCAGCGCTGCATCTCAGACACAAAGTTCCTTTAATAATAAGCTTTAGCCGTCCCCTCAGTTGGAGGAGAATTGCATTACCTTGCAAAAAGGATTCATGCATGTAAACTTCTCCATTTTTATTGATGTTATGAGAACAAACCTCAAAAACAACTTTGGGGATTTAATGTAATTGAAACACAAATTGTGAGATGGAAGTCCAAGAATTTATACTTTTATTTCATTTGAATTCAACCACCTTTTACCTGGCAACCATCGGCCTCCAGAAGTCAACAAATTAGTGGACAGAGTCCACCTGTGTGTAACTTAATCTCAGTATAAATCCAGCTGTTCTGAGAAAGCCATTAAAGGTTCAACAGAGAACAAAAAGCACCATGAAGACCAAGGAACACAGGAGATGGATCAGGGATAACATTGTGGAGAAGCTTGAAGTACAGTAAGGTTTTACTGAAAGACAATGTCATTGTGATGCAGAAAGCAGAGCAAAGACAAACAAAACTAAAGTAGAAATAGAAATATAATACAATATGTACCGTACATTGCAGAAACTAAGGATTCACTTCAGAGCAACTTATTAGTTCAGAAGAGATTTAATGGAAATGTATAGAAATATGCTTGACATATTACGACAACCTGTTCAAACATTTTGCGTGTTAAGACTTATACAATAAAATTACGCTTAAATGTTGTGGAGGTTCAGACAATTCAACAGAGACCCATGTAATACATTTCTATCAACTTGATATGAGCAATTGAAAGATTTTAGTAAATTAAAAATAAGATTTTGGATATAGTGAAACAAAATACGGAGAAAAAAAAAGGTAAAGATATTTGGAAAGGGCACTGAATTCATAAAAATATCTTTAAAGAAGAATAGCTCAAAGAGGGAGACAGCAAGGAGTCTGAACACATGACACACAGCTATTTGACAGGACACAAAAGAAAACAGAGCCTTACCTCAGCAGAAGATGTGACCAAACAACATTGCTATGCGTGGATCAGGGAAAAGTCCTGCCTGCTCACTGTTATACACTCAACAACACTATTTTATGAATTGCTTAATTAAATTTAATGGTAAAATAGTAATAATATAAAATAAACTTTGGAGTAAGCAGGCTCAACTACTGCTCTGATGATGAAATTACATACAGCAATTATTCAACACATTAATCATCATAACTAACTGAACAAGTTGTAATTTTCCTGCACTAATATAATTCCTCTTCTTCCTTAATAGTTTAGGAAGATAAATTGCTAATAACTAAAAAAATAAATCAGACTGATAAAGTCAGTGAACCGTTAGAACAGAGCAAAGGCAAGACAACCAACTACCTTGTAATACTACTCTGTACATGTTTGTCATTTTGATTTCTTATGGTAGATCATATACGTGTTTCTGTATAGGCTCATGCAGGATAAATAAATCACTTTTCCTAACTTTGTTGGATAACAGAGGAAATAAATACTCGACAGCTACAGCTACACATTTATTTTGTGATTTGACACAGTAATTGGACAAAACCTGCAGTGGATTAAAAGAAACAATATGTATCAAACATTATGCATAATTTTTCCAACATCTGTAGAAACAAATGTTAGCAGCAAGAAATCTGTTGTTCTGCTGCATGCGTACATCAGCTTGTGAGTCCCAAACCACTCAGCAGAAAGAAGCGGTAGGATGAATCAGAAGGGAAGTAATTACACATCAGAGTGGCGGCAATGAGTTAATCACACGAGAGACAGCTAATCGACTGAGACTCTGTGAGCACGCCAAGATGCATTTGCACTGAACCAATCTGCTCCAGATGAGACAGAGCAGGATAAGAATGAAGGACATCCTGAAAACCACTTCATGTAATCAATGGACCTTCACTTCACGCACATTTATAAACCATGTCTAAATGTGCTGCAGCCAGCACACATGGTTGCTGACCACCAATACCACTCTAAAAGCCAAATATAGACACTTAATTACGGTTTTGCTTTGTAGGTACAGGTTTAAGGACAAAAACATTTGTAGTCATTCTTTCTCGAAGATTAGGCTCTGACCATTTAGCTTGTAATCAAAACACAGAGGGTATGCCCTGCTGCCATTAAATAGTTTTGTAGGGTTTACCGAAGGAACACAGGAGTTCCTGTTTACAACTAGAAGCTGCTTAATGGAGTTGAGTTGCAACAGAGGTGAAAAGAAATATGCATTGTCACACTGACATTTATAGAGCTTTTATCTTGTTTTATAGATAAATATAGTCTGATTTTCGTTTTTAAATTCCATACTTTCTATCTTTATCCAGCACATCCAGATCTGGAAAATACTAAAATTCCATATTTTTTCAATGTTACACATCTTGTCATACTTAAAACTGTAAGTCAGAACATTTAGTCAGATAAGTCTAGGCATAATGTCATGTTAAATGTTTAGGTTTAGGAAAGTCTGTCATTTTTCTTACAAAAGCAGAAATACTAGATATCAACTATACATCCTAAAAGTCAAAATAGGTATCCTATTCATCCTGCCCAAGCCTTTCTACAGGTTGGTGTCATTTGAAAGACAGAATTCATTTGATGTCTACACTAGTGGGAAATATACAAAACATTCTTGTTTATATGTTTTCAGTTTTCCTCCAATGTGAGCGAGAATCTCTGAGATTTGGGGAAACAACATTTCTTTCTGACAAACCCTGACTTCTTTTCAACAACTATGATCACCTGATGCTAACATCAACCTTGCTGTCAGACTTTAGGTAAAAAAAAAAAAAAAATACCATTTTTGCAATGGTTCCTTCATAACAATAGTGAATAAAATCATCCACTGTGAGAGTTTTAAAACATTTTTCAAGCAAAATCAATTTAAAAAAGCTACTTTTGTATACCTTGGTGTTGGCCATGTCCACAATGTACTGGTCTCCTTTGATACACTCCATGACATTGAAGCCGTCACGGTCCAATACTTTGGCCTGTGCATTTCCAGAGACCACCAGGAGAACATCGCCTGTGATGCTGTACTGCAAGGATTTGATCTGGTGGCTGAAACACAGAAAAGATGATTTAGCTTTGTTTCTATCATGCAATCACTAGAAAAAGTTCTGCACAAAATATTTTTAGTAAAAAAAAAGAAAAACGTACCACCCATGCTTCAGTGGTACGTCTAGTTTCTATAGCTGATGCATGACAACAAACTAAAATAATAATAGTAAGTGAGAGTGAGATAGCATAATGATAAAAATAACATTTTTAATCCTACATAAACAATACAATAATTAAGAAGCTGCAAAGACTGTAAAAATTTGTCAAGTGAAATAAGTTGACAAATTTCTGTTTTATATCACAAAGGACAAAGAGCGGACTTCACCACTTCACCTGCTCAGCTTTCTGACTAAAGTTTAACTTTACAGTGACCCATAAAAGCTAGTGGATCTGACTGTAATCATAATAAATGAAGCATGAATTTCCCTTAATAAGGGTAAGCCTTTTCCAGCTCAGTCCACTGGTTCCCAAAAGCAAAAAAGAATGTAATCTTTAATGCCATGAACACTGGGACACAGAATAAACACAAACACACACATAACTTCACCATCTGCTTCTAAAAGCGTCATTTTGGATGAAAAGAGGGGATTCCACAAAGCAAACATTAGACTCGATGAAGCTTAACAAGCCTCCGTGTGTATGTTTTTATGCACTGAAGCACACTTAAATTAAGTCCGTGTGCCTGATGTTTGCATGAAACCAATTTAAACACATGTTGGGCAACTGTGTTGATGTTCCACATACCACTCACAGGGCTGCAGGGTTCGGAAAGCCTGCAGAGCCTGATCCATTCCAGCAAAATCCCAGAAACGAACATCGTAATCATATCCGCCTGTCACCAGGCGGGCTCCAGAGGGGTCTAAACCAAGAGCTGATACCTGAGGAGACAATTAGCAGTTAATTCAAACTTAATCTTAAACCTACACCGTCATACTGTAACGTTGGTTGGCTGCTTCTAAACTGACTTAAAAAAAACAAAAAAACAATAAAAATATTATAGTTGAAAGTCAATGCAGTGAAAGCATTTAATTATTCAGAAAGAAAGTGTTGGCTGCATTAATTGTGCCTCTGGATAGCAGACTCAGAGTTAAATATTTTCCTTTGGAAGTGCAATACCACAAGAAACAGGGTCAGATCTTTTACACAATAACAGGAAAGGATAAATCCAGCTGCCGTTGCAAACTTTATAAAGCTAAATTAATAATTTTACATTTTAAAAAAAATGTTCATTAAGTGTTATGTAATTTTTATATCAAATTTAATTAAATTTTAATTTTACATGATTGTGGATATGTATTTCTGTTTGGCTGTTTGTCATTTTGTTCTTTTTTTTTAGTTGGACCTTGAGTCTGAAATAAATTATCTATCTATGAAGACTTTAACAGTAAGTTTCTGGCCATTTAATATTATTCTAGCAACAGTAAAAAAAAATAATTTTTTTTTTAATTTTAAAGAGTCAATAAAATTATAATATTTTGACTGTTGTAAGCAAAATCATTACTGTTTTGGTGCCGTGTTGAAGAATGATCTCATGAGTGTCTGGAATCTTCTTCACTGGGTTCTGCGGAAAAACATGGAACAAAAAAAACGTAAGTTATTTTGTTATTGTCTAGTTTCCTTTTTAATCTCTATGTTGCATCTAAAATAATTTGTCCTGTCCTGAGCTGTTTCATCACTACATCATAAAATGAAGATTCAATAATAATATGTGTTAATATTTTCCAGGATCATTTGAATTCTCCAAAAACAAACTAATATAATAATCATAAACAACATGAGGCAGCTTTATACAGTCTGGCTGTTGTGGTGCTGCCACCTAGTGTTCGTGTTTGTATTACTCTCGTGCTTTTCGAGCTCCTGTATTACAGGCAGAAATGAATGAAAAAGAGTTGGTAAGGTAATGTATATAGCAACACTAATGATGAATATTAGTTTACTGATTTAATTTTGACTGTATGAAGAACACAGCAGAACAGAATTACATTCAATGTTATCACTCCCAATATTTACTCACAAAGAGGAACAATTTGAAGATCCACACTGTAAACTCAAAATACAAAAAACTAAAATGGCTTTCATACATACATCATCATCATCGTCATCATCTTTTGAGTCTGCTTCGCTGTCGTCATCATCGTCGTCACTATTTGCTGTGTTGTCCCGATAACCTGGTGGAAGGGGTGGTCCTACAAGCTCCTCTTCCTGGGCTCCACGTTGGGGAGGCACTGGTGGCCCAACGAGCTCTGAGTCTGAATCACTGCTGTCACTACTGCTGGTGCCGCTGTGCTGGTTCCTGAGGATTTTTTGAAACAGAATCTCAAGTAAAGCAGAAACATGCTTTAAAAAAGGTTTCAGAAATACTCACTCAAACAAGGCAAAGTTGTCTTACCGAGCTGCAGCTTTGTCTCTATGACCAGGAACTGATGGTTTAACTGACTTGGAGCTTTCCCCTTCCTCCTCTACCTGAGCCCCTTTCTGTCGATCCTCTGAAGGTATGTAGGACACACTGAAGTCATTTATTTTACACATAAAACTCAACATATTGTATGGAAAATCTGACTGAAGCATTTAGCGTTTTACATACAGTAAATCAGTGTTTTGTGTCTCAATACTTCTCCAAAACAAGGAGGGAATTATATCAAGAATCCAGTCATAATTTAAAACAGCAGTACAAGCCACAAAATACTCACCCAGGACACGCTGACTCCTCTCAATAGCTGTTCTCCGGGTTTGCTCAAAAATGGCTTCAAGATCAAATGTCCGCGCCTTCTTACCTGAAAATGTACAAAAAAATTTTTATCTTAATTGCTTCAATCAAATCTGAAAGAATACGCTCTATGGTTTATTAAATATAACCCGTCATATCATTTGTAGTTGCCACATACCAAACCCAGAGAATCCCATGACAGATCCGATCTCTCCATCACTCGGTAGTTTTTCTGCTCAAAGGAGAGTATTTCAGAGAAGACTTAATGACACAGCTCATTCGTTTGACCATGAGATCTGCAATTCCGGTACATTCTGTTAATGTACCGGGTACAAAAACATATAAAAGCCTCAAAAAAGATGTGCAATCAAATCAGAATAAAATCTTGTTTTAAATAATTATTTAAAAGCACTTAAAACCGTTTTGGAGACAATGTTCAATAGTACAGTTTCTCCGTGTGAAATATATTTTAAATACTAAAAAGAATGTAAGCTAAATTGTTAAGCTAACAATAAATTAGCAAACTTTGATATTTATATTTAAAGTAATTCCCGAAAAAAAACACAAGAAACTCTCCGTGGCTACAAAAGATAATGTTTCAAGTAGTTTAAGTAAATGCAATACAGAAAAAAAAAGACGTAAAATCCTGCAAAGTGTTTACCTTCATCCATGTTTTCAAACTATTGCCTCTGACCCACGGAAGTAGTCCTTCTTCTTCTTCGCTGATAGTGTGCGCATTTCAGACGTTCGGTCCAACAGCGCCATAGCCGTCTTGGAGGACTTCTATTTCGAAGGCAGTGCTTGGTTTACAGAAATAAACGTTTTCAGACCTGGTTTTTGGATCCAATAGTGTCTGAATATCTCAGTATTTCAAGTAGTTGGTTTCAGAATTAAGGAGTCTACAGACCAACAACAGGACATCAAATATTATCCTTTGACAATGAGGGTGCATTGTCAAAGGGATTGGCATAGTATAGTCCATTTAAAGCATTAGAAGGCCAATTTATTAATAGATGTGTTTTGGTTGTTAAAAGTCAAATTTAAATTCATGAAAAGAATGAATGAATGGATTTTAATTTAGATTAAACGTTTTCAATGCTGCATTGTTGTGTAAAAATACATTGATGTAATACTGAGTTATACATAAAAAATGAAAGTATAGGATTCTGTTAAAAGGGCTTATCATTAAAGTACTTTATTTAAATCACAGGTTTAAAGTGAAAAATACAAGAAGCTGTTTAAAACAGTCAAGGAGTATATAAAATAAAAGGCTATAAATATAGAAATATAACATACCATCTGAAATCATTACAAATATAAATGGGAACAAATGTCAGACTGAAAAAAGTTTTTAAGAAAAAATCTACCATTTTATATTTCAGTTTATACAATGTATCCATTAGGCACTTCTGGTACCTTACAACCTATTTTACTATACAGTTGCACTTAATAATAATAATAATTTTTAACATTAACCATCTTCTTCAGCCACCATTCTTTCAATGGCAGTCCAGTCTATTCTGCTTAAGCTGCTTCCTGCGCTGTCAGAGAGATTATCGAGCCAATTCATGCCTGAAACGCCATCTGCGACAGCACCGTCCTGCCCATGTAAAATCCCAGTCACCTAAAAAACAGCCACAAAATAATCATAATTGAGGAACCAAAGTAATTCAAAGTTATATTTCAGTTTATCTCACTACAGTGGAAAAATTCAAATAGGCTATTTTTAGGAAAATGTGACTTTTACCGAGGTGCCAGCCTCCAGTCTGATAAATTCTGTACGGTTCCTCACTTCAGGCTCCTTCACTTGACTATATTCATTCAGGTTCTTTCCTCTTTGTAAAGCAGCTCCACTTGAGAAACTGTTGTCCAACCCAGTTTCTTTCTGTATTCCGACTTGCTGTGCCTCGCTCTGCCTGGCTGCGTAGAGGTTGGATTGGCTCTTGCTGAGTATGCCAGCCCTCGTTACCTGACATAGTTCCTCCGCTGAGAAAAAAGTTACTGAAACAAGAAAATGTTTGACATAGATAAGTCATTTTTATGGAAGTAAGAGAAAAATAAACATAAAAAATGTTGTGAAAACGTGTGTGACACTTTAGAGCAACTATATCAAGGATGGGGGAGCCCAACCAGCCTACAGATTAACTTCATTTTTTTCATTGTTAACGGACCACGAAACAAAATCCCACCACAGCATTGCATGTATCATTTTACAATGGGTGATAACAATACCTGATGGATCATGTCTCAGTCTTCTGCGGAGATCATATGAATATTCACTCTCTGCAGAATAATATAACTGAGATGGGGAACTTCCTGTCTGAGAAGTGGGACTTCTTTCATCAGTGGTTGATACGTTGAAAGGCCTGCAAGAAAAAAAAAATACTACACTTATTACCATACTACATAAGTCTTGTCTACAAGACAAGATACTCTTATCTCAAATGTTGTTGTGCCTAAAAACTGATCATCTCGGGCTGGAAGTTTGACGCTGTAAAAACAATTTATTGTTCCCAACTGTGCAGAAAATTATTAGCTGATTTACTCAGGGACATCCCTGAAGTCATCACTTAAAGAAAATGGCAACCAGACTACAGGAACACAGTGGAATCTACATCAATTATGTTTATTGAGTGGTGAACTTTGAACTTTAAATATCACTTTTCATGGCATTATTTTTGTTTAACAAACTTTCTCTTGACAATTTTCTCATTTTTAATGAAATCTAGTTTAACTTCCAGGAAGGTTGTTAACTAAGATCCAGTTAAGATCTTTGTTCTTAGCTGGAATGCTATCAATCGACATTGATTACTGTTTAAAAATTTCAGATGCTAGATTCATTTCTTAGCCCAGGATACCTAAAAGGGCAGCCAACAGGTGGATTCGAACTCAACCAGGGGCTGTAGAGAAATGGACCTTCACGAATCTGGGAGGAACTTGACCGGGTAGCACGATAAGTGAGAAAGTCATTGGCCAAATGGCAGGCCTCCTCTGTTCTCCGAAAGTACTGTTCAAGAAGCATTGACCTAGTAAGAAAGTAGAGAGTGCAATTTATAAAGGCAAGCATGTTCTCACGTGGCTCAAAGTACAGGGGTACCTACTTTTCTTTTGCCTCTCTGCTAACCCAAATGCTTGCTGCTTTTCTGTTGGGAAAATTCTATGGAAATTTGGGGAGTAGTAATACAGATATTATATCAAACAAAGGTATTGCTCATAGCAAACTGGAATATCACATCCAGAAAAAAAAAACATCTCCCACCTCTACTAAAGAGCCACAGAATGGTTTATGCTCCCTCTCCTTCAGGCTCTGTCTGTGCTGTTTATAAGCAGTCAGTCTTTCCCTTTGTTTCCGTCTCATCCAAATTCTCAGTTCCTTCCTCTCCTCCGCAGAATGCGTCTTTTTCTCTAATGTCCAGCTACGTTCCCTCTGGTCCTGCCTCTTCACGGCTCCTTCCAGCTTCTTCCTCTCCTCTGCAGGAACCGTCCTTTTCTCTAATGTCCAGATATGCTCCCTCTGGTCCTGCCTCTTTACGGCTCCTTCCAGGTCCTTCCTCTCCTCTGCTGGAAGCGTCTTTTTCTGTAATCCCCAGCTACGTTCCCTCTGGTCCTGCTTCCTTACGGCTCCTTCCAGGTCCTTCCTCTCCTCCGCAGGAAGCGTCCTTTTCTGTAATCCCCAGCTACGTTCCCTCTGGTCCTGCTTCCTTACGGCTCCTTCCAGTTCCTTCCTCTCCTCTGCAGGAAGCGTCTTTTTCTGTAATCCCCAGCTACGTTCCCTCTGGTCCTGCCTCCTTACGGCTCCTTCCAGGTCCTTCCTCTCCTCCGCAGGAAGTGTCTTTTTCTGTAATCCCCAGCTACGTTCCCTCTGGTCCTGTCTCCTGACGGCTCCTTCCAGCTCCTTTTTGACCTCCGCAGGAAGCGTCCTTTTCTGTAATGTCCCCTTATGTTCCCTCTGGTCCTGCCTTCTAACAGCTCCTTGAATCTTCTTCCTCTCCTCCACAGGAAGCGTCTTTTTCTGTAATGCCCAGCTATGTTCCTTCTGGTCCTGCCTCCTGATGGCTCCTTGCAGCTTCTTCCTTTCCTCTGGAGAAAGCGTCTTCTTCATTAATGCCAAGCTATGTTCTCTCTGGTCCTGCCTCCTAACGGCTCCTTGAATCTTCTTCCTCACCTCAACAGGAAGCGTCTTTTTCTGTACTGCCCAGCTATGTTCCTTCTGGTCCTGCCTCCTAACAGCTCCTTGCAGCTTCTTCCCCTCCTCTGCAGGAAGCATCTTTTTCTGTAATGCCGAGCTATGTTCCCTCTGGTCCTGTCTCCCGATGGCTACTTCAAGCTCCTTCTTCTCTTCCTTAGGAAACGTCCTTTTCTCTAATGTCCAGCTACGTTCCCTCTGGTCCTGCCTCCCAATGGCTCCTTCTATCTCCTTCCTCTCTTCCTCAGGAAGCATCCTTTTCTCTAATTTCCAGGTATGTTCCTTCTGGTCCTGCCTCTCAATGGCTCCTTCTTCCTCCTTCCTCTCCTCCTCAGGAAACATCCTTTTCTCTAATGTCCAGGTATGTTCCTTCTGGTCCTGCCTCTCAATGGCTCCTTCTACCTCCTTCCTCTCCTCCTTAGGAAACATCCATTTCTCTGATTTCCCGGTATGTTCCCGCTGGTCCTGCCTAGTGACGGCTACTTCCAGCTCTTTCCTCTCCTCCTCAGGAAGAGTCTTTTTCTCTAATGTCCAGCTATGTTCCCCCTGGTCTTGCCTCCTGAGGGCCATATTGTTTGTCAGTAAGTATTTCCATTTAAAATATTAAAAACATTTTTAATATTTGTACCTGTTAAGATGTGAAGTCTGAGAGCCATCCAAATCCCAGTCAGAGGGAGATAAGTAGCCTTCCCTGACCAAGTCGTCTAAGATTTCCATAGTGTCGGATAACGCAGTCTGACTCAGATTCTCATCTTCCCCTCTAAATGTTGAGAAATACAAAACACTGTTTTTTAAAAAAAAGGATGTTTTATGCTTTTTAAGACTCCAGGTATAAACACACTTACTCATTAGATATATCATAGGTTTCATGGAAGTGCTCTTCTTTTCCTTTGGATGAAAGATAACAGAGTTCGTTTGTTTTTTAATAGATTCCTCAAATGACACATAATTATATTAAAACAATAAAGTCTGATGTTACTAAAAGATCCAACACTGCAACTTGCCATCTTGACAAATCAGGGTTAAAAACAACCATCAGTTGAGACTAATGGAGTAACACAAGTTTATCAAGGAAGACAACAAAGATGTTTAAATGAGCTGCATTTCAACCTGGAGCTTGAATGTAGGATGGACCACTACTCTGACTGAACGGAGAGGTTGAATAGTGATGTGACGGTTTTATCGCAGAACTCCCGGAGTCGTCATGAAGCACATGTTCCTCTTCCTGTTCTTTGATCTCATCATATTCCTTCAATGCACGTAAAGGCTCTGGATCCGGAGCTGTTGGGAATAATAATAAAAGCTTTTCAGATTTGCAAAATTTACTTTAAAATCACAATAATGTAAATTGAATATGAGATGGAGTAGCAACTTCTATTACAAGTGAAAAGATTCTGATCCAACCTTTGAGTGGAACAGAGAGTCTGACGCTTTTTTTTACTCCCGTGGTGGCTTTTGGATCAGACTCCCTGTCTAGGAGCTTGTCAATCGTGTTTACCAGCTACACACAAGAAAAAGAAACAGAA